CAGCCCCATGATCCAATCACTTCCCCAAACCCCCACCTGTGATTGCATGAGGCTTTGGGGGGCATCTACAAATAAACCCTAATGTTCCACCCTGGCACCCAAAAGACTCATGGCCATCTCTTTATTCAAAATGCATTTAGTCTGTCTGTAAGAGTTGCCAAAGTCCTAACGCTTCCAGCATTGCTGAAAAGGTCAAGTCCAAAGTGCCCTCTGAGATATAAGGGAAAACTCCTAGCTGTGAGCACCTGTAAAAATCAAAAGAAAGTTGAACGCCACTAACATACTAATACAAATGTACAGGGTAAACCTTCCCATTCCAAAAGGGAAAAATAGGGGGATAGAAAAGAATGGGACCAAAGCAAGCCTGAAATCCAGCAGGGCAAACATTACATCCATAGTTCCATGTCCAGCACCTGGGGCAATCTGTGGCAAGAAGTGAACATCAAAAGCTTGGGTGGCCTCACACCTACAGCATCGCCAGTGGTTGTAGCCCTCATGGCTTCATTCTTGGAATGGTTTTGCTCACTGCTTGTGGCTTTCCTCAGATGTTATATTAATATTATCGGGTAGCTTCTTCTAAAGTGGCTTGAACGAAGTGAGCAAAAAGCAGTGGCAAAGTTTATTTGAAAAAGTAAAAGTGAAGAGTAAGGAAGAAACTGGCTCTGCAGAGTGAGCTTGGGCCGAATAAAAGAGGAAAAAGCAAGATAAACACCTGTTCTGCACATGTGTTCCGGGATCTTGTAATTAAAGGGTCAGGCCTACTTCCCCAGCCAGTTTGCCATGACCTAATGTATTAGGTCAGTTCCACATTCTTGGTTTTTCCAACTTTCTGAGATATCAACTGCAATTTTAGCTTCACACTTACAGTTTCACATACTGCCCTCTCAGGGACACACTTCCTGGCCTCCCAGGCCTTCTGAAATCTGGCTAGAAGCCTCCTTGACCCCAAAACTGTTAGCATTCTGCCTGTGTGTAAAACCAGTACCATGTGGATGATGCCAGCATCTGCCACAAGCTTGAGCAGTAGCTGAACCCATGAATCTTACAGGTAGTTGCAGAGACCTCTGCCTGGATGGCTGATTAAGGTGAACTGGATCCTGGGGAATCAATTCCCATTCCTTAGACTGAGGTCCTGGGGCTCCTAAAGCAAAAATTTGAATCTGGGAAAAGCGGAGGTCATTTGGATTCCTCCCATACCCTCAAGGCATCTTTGTGTTGTCCACATCTAAAATATTGGATTTATTTTTAATGCTAATCTTTTTTATCAACCAGGTTCTCCTCTACTCCATCTGCAAAAGCTCTTAACTTCACTGGAGCTTCCTTTCTGGCCAGACTAAAACTTCTAAATCATTCAGCTGTGCCTTTTGCTCATGATTCTCAAGGTAGAGCTGGCTGAATGCCCCCAGCCATATCCATACCACTGCCTTATAATTAGATTGCTTTGAAATTACTTCCACCAGGGCTGGGGATTTAGCTCAGCGGCACAGAGCCTGCCTGGCAAGCGCGAGGTCCTGAGTTCGATCCCTGGCACCAAAAAAAAACAAAAAGAAAGAAATTACTTCCACCAGATTAATGAGTCTTAGGGCCTGAGCAAAATGTAGACACATTTTCTGCCAGAACATACCACATATGAGTGGGAGTCCAGCTGCCAGTGGAGTCCTTCTTCCATCTGAAACCTCCTGAGCCTGGTCTCTTCTGTCTGCATTTCTTTCAGCATTCTGGTCTTCTGAGCTTTAACCAGGATCACCCATCAAGCTCAGTTTACAGCATTCTAAGGCTACTTCTCCAGCTAGCATCTCCAAACCCTTCCAAAACTCCTCCTTTAAACCAATTCCAAAGGCTGAGCCACATGGTCAGTAGCATCACAGTGACAACCCCACTTCTGTGTCACCAAAGTCTGTCTGTCTCTGTTGTCACTGGAACACAATACACGACACCATCAACTTAAAGGAGGAAAGGTTTATTTTTGACTCACAGCTTGTAGAGGTTTTAATCCATAGTTGGCTAGTTCCAAGGCAGGGCAACATGGCCAAAGGGCATGGAAGAGGAGGTTTGCTTATGATTTAGCAGTCAGGAAGCAGAGATCAAGGGAGGAGGCAGGGACATAGCCCTTCCAGGTCGTGCCTCCAGTGACCCACCTCCAACCAGGCTTTACTTCCCAAATCATATGTAGCTATAAACTCATCAGTGAACTCATCTAGTGATGAGAGTCATGGCTCTGTGACCCAGTCACTTCCTAAAAGCCTATGAGTACATGAAGTTTTGGGTGGGGACATCTAGATATAAACCATAACACAGAGTAATGTTAGCTTCCAAGAATGACTTTGGCAGTATCCCAGCCCTTTCAGGTTCATTAAAGAGTTTGAGGAGTGTTGACATTTAGTCTTCCCTAGTTCTTACAGAATTCAGCAGTGAATTTATTGAGACTGGGGTTTTATTAGTTGGTGGGTTTTTTAAATTACTTTTTCAGTATCATTGCCTGATATTGTATTATGCAGAGTTTTTATATCTTCTTGGTTCAGCTTTGGTAGTTCAGATGTATCTAGGAATCTTATCCATTTCTTCTAAATTCTCTATTTTATTAGCATAAGGTTCTCGAAGTATTTACTAATCTTCTGGATTTTGGCAGAGTCCATTGTGATTTTTGAGTTTTTCATTTCTAATTCCATTGTTTTTTGTATACTGCATATTATTGAGTTTTTTTGTTTGTTTGTTTGTTTGAATTTTGTTTCTTTATCCATTCTGCCAATCTGTATCCTTTGACTGGGGAATTGAGAACATTCACATTGAGAGTTACTGCTGAAAGAATAAATAGCATTATTTTCCTGAACAGGTATATTCATTCTTTTAGGTTTTTTGCCATTGTTGGTTTCATTGTCTCTTTCTAGGATATCTTTGAGAATTTTCTGTACTGCTGGCTTGCTGGGCATGATTTTCTTGAGGTACTCTTTGTCATGGAATTACTTTATTTCTCCATCAATTTTGAAAATTTGGACAGTATATATAATTCTGGGCTGGAAGTTTCAGGGCATGAAACTCTTTTTCTTTCGGTACTGGGGATCAAACTCGGGTCCTTGTGCTTGTGAGGCAGGCAGCGGAACCACTGAGCTAAATCCCTGACCCTAAAATACTTTCCTCCAAGTTCTCCTGGCCTTACTGAATGTTTTTTTTTTCTTTTGTTTTGTTTTTTGTTTTTGTACTGGGAATGGAACTTGGGAACCTGCATTTGAAAGATAGGCGGCGGCACTACTGAGCTAAATCCCTGGCCCAGAAATCCTAATCTTTTTTTTTTTCTTTTCCTTTTTTGGTACTAGGGATCAAACTCAGGACCTTGCACTTGCAAGGCAGGCCCAGTGCCACTGAGCTAAATCCCCGGCCGTTGAATGGATTTTTAATCATTATATTAGCTCTTTTGTGTTATTGCTTAAATGACCAAGGTCTTAAGTATACTATTCATTGTTCAAAGTATATTACTTAACTTTTCCATTAAGTTGCCTTTAGCTACCAGTGTGTGTGTGTGTGTGTGTGTGTGTGTGTGATGACCATTGTGAATTTTAAGAAAAGAAACATAGGATGTGTAGATCTGCATGTAAGTATATACATTATTAGAGATTTATACCCTATTATTTTTACATGCTTTGACTTTGTGACAGTGAATGCAAAGTGACTGCAGATGAATAAAGGGAAAATGATACAGGTATGAGGGACTACAAAAATTTGGAAAATTCTGGCGCTGATCATAGTGGGTACATTGAAACATTGTATTAGTTTCCTTGCTTGCTCTTCTATTAGTATTCTCCATGTTTTAGACAGGGTTTAAGAGAAGTATCCTTAACTGTGTTTGGTGATATGTAGATTTGGTATTGTCTTTACCCAGGCTGAAAAAATGGAAAAACAGTGTGATTGGACTTAGCAGCTGAATGGTTTTTAAGAAGAAGGTCATATGGTTCTGGGGTAAAGGAAGGATGAATGATGGCTATAAGTGGTGAATCTGTAGTCCTGACAGTCTTGTAGAAAGTAATATAGCAGTAATAAAGTAGGAACACTACAAAGGTCCTAACATTCAGAGAACCATGAAGTTTAAGCAGAGCATGCTTGAACCCCAGGCTCAAAGATGATCTTTCCATTTGCTTCAAGGAAGTTCAGCCTTGGATAAGTGGGGGGAAAATTAAGATAAAACTCAGGAATCTAGGCTGGCCACATGTAGAGGCCTACTGATTGGAATGATTGGAAAGAAGTGGTCAGCAAGGTTAATGTGAAGAATGTGCTGTGTGATGTTGCCTGAAAATTATTGTATTTTGTGCCTCTATAGAGTCCCTACCAACTACAATTGTGTATTCTAATGCTGTGTGTACTGTCTTTCAGTAAGCCAGGTTAGAGTAAGAATAGGGTGTCAGGTGCTGCAGGACATCTGTAAAGAAGAAATGCCCTTGATCCTCCAGAGTTGGTTTCTAAAGAAACAACCTGCCCTAAGCATCCAACTGGAGTTGCAGCAAGTTACCTAGGGCAGCTATGATATAATCCAAACAGGAAGTCACTTTAACCTACTTCTCCAGCTCCTGTTTATGAATGTGCACACACACAGTTTAAAAGGCAGGAAATATTTCTAAAAAGCAATTGTATTGCTTTGATATTCTTAATAGAAATTTCATGGGTGGGATATAATTTTCAATCTCTTTATTAGGCCCTGGAGAAATAAGAGTTTCACTCTCAATTTCTTATCTAGAGGACAATTTCATTTTTTGTAGTGTTAGGGCTTTTATCTTTTGATGTATAAATATCTTTGCCATTAGTGTATTACAATGTTTAATTATATTAAAAAATAGTCTTTTCAGAATTCCAAAATGTATAATTTGAAATATGGAGCACAGTTAATTGATTTAACTTTTTTAAAAACTTGTGTTCTAGTGCAAATTACCTTTGCTTAAAGGATGCATGACATTCTGTACGAAATATAAATTGCCATAGCTAATACTAATGATATTGTTCTTTTTTATTAGAAAACTGGTGATTTATTTGCTATCAAAGTATTTAATAACATAAGCTTCCTTCGACCAGTGGATGTTCAAATGAGAGAATTTGAAGTGTTAAAAAAACTGAATCACAAAAATATTGTCAAATTATTTGCTATTGAAGAGGAGGTAAGTAGTCAAGTTTAGTTAATCTTGTCATCATGTTTATGGGAGTTATGATTTAGGAGATATAATCTATTATTAAAAAATGATTTAAAAACTGATGAAGGGCTGGGGATTTAGCTCAGTGGTTTCGCGGCTTGCTACACAGGCGCAAGGACCTGAGTTAGATCCCTGGTACCAAAAAAAAAAAAAAAAAACTGATGAAAAATCAGGGCTCAAACAACCAAATTTTCTGTTCGCAGGATTTCTTGAGTAGAGATGGCAGTAGAAATAAAGCACAAGAATAGAATAGATAAAGCAGTAGAAATAAAGTCAAGAATGGAATAGTATAAAAAATAAAATAGTATAGAATTTGATTACTAGTATTATTACTGTTTTAGTTACTTTTCTCATTGCTGAGACAAAATACCCAGTGCCCAAAGTTAAGGGAGGAAAGGTTTATTTGGCTCACAGTTTGTAGAGGTTTTAGTCCATAGTTGGCTGGCTCCAAGACAGGGTGGCATGGCAGACAACCATCGCAGAGGAGAAACAGTTTATGGTGGGCAGAAGCAAAGGAACAGTAGCAAAGCAAGCAAAGGACCTTAGCAGCTTCTTTCTTCCCCTTTTATATTCTTTCTAGGCTATCAGGATTAGGGCAGTGCCAGACCAGTCGGTGGAGTGATTTAGTAATTACCCACCCTTAATGCCAGCATCACACACTCTAGATCCAGCCACCTCTGAAAAAACCCCACCTATGACCACATTGAGCCTTTGGGGGAGCATCTAGATACAAGCTATAACAATTACTGAAAGAAAAAAAGAAAAAAGCTAACTGAAGTGCAATTGATACAATTATAAAAAGAACAAAGAGAAAGTAAACAATACAGAAAAGCCTTTGTAAAAAGAATAATCCTGGACCAAGGGTTTGGCTCAGTGGTTCCTCCACCTGCCTTGCAAGCACAGGGTCCTGAGTTCGATCCCCGGTACCAAGAAAAAAAAAAAGAATAATCCTAGTAGGCAAGAGATTAATTTATAAAGTCGAATTATAAAGGATACAATTGATTTTAAGGAGAAATAATAAAAGTAAGAATAATATGAAAATAATCCAGAAATAATGTAGACAGGTCTATTTCAATTGCTTAACACATGAATAATCAATAAAATCCATTTTGAGAAATAGTTTGGTAGTTTATACTCCTAGTGATTTGATTTTTCAGTGATTATTTCTATAAGAACTAATCAAATAATGGGTTTTATATATAAAGATGTTAATTGGTACCCTATTTATAATACAGGCTGGTTAAGAAGTTGAGTAAATTAATCCAAGTACAGTAGTGTGCACCTATAGTCCCAGGTATTTGGGAGGTTGAGGCAGGAGGATGGTGAGTTTCAGGCCAGCCTAAACAGGATACCAAGAATCTGTCTTTTTTTTTTTTTTTTTTGGTACCAGGGATCGAACTCGGGCCCTTGCACTTGTGCAGCAGGCGGCAAAACCACTAAGCTAAATCGCCAGCCCGTCACTTTTTTTAAAAAAATGTTCAGTAAGTTAAAATGTGTGATCAACTTATGTATAAAATGTAACTACTGATTATTAAAGAAATTCAAATAATTTATAAAAGTGTTTTGGGGACAGTAGGAAATATTATAAAAGGAAGAAAGAAAAAGTTGGGGATAAATAATGGATTTTAAGACTAAAATTTTTAAGTGTCTAAAATTGGCTTAGATCTTATGATCATTGTGCATAGTGACTAGTTATCCAGAGTTAGCCAAACTTAAGGTTAAGACTGTAGCCTTCCAGACTGCCAAGTCTACCCAAGACTTCTGATGCCAACTGCAAAAAGTTTGGCAAACTGTACGGAGAGTGCAGTCCCTACAAACTGCCCTCACTTCAGACACCAACCTAAAGTTTAGAAGTCCCCAGAGCTGCTCTCACTTTAGACCAGCTGCCTACAATGGGAGTTCCCATAACATGCTCAGATTTGGTAAATTGCTAGAATGTGAAATGATTCACAGAACTCAGGAAAGTGCTGTACTTAACAGTTTCATTATAACAAAAGGATATGAATTAAAACAGCCAAAGGAAGAGACACGGTAGAATATGAGAAGGTTACAACCATAAGTTTTCTTGTCCTAGAACACATTAGTCTCCTAGCACTGATATATTGACATATGCCCAGAGAATTGGTCAGGAAGAGCTAACCAAGCCTTTGCAATACAGAGATTACTGGATGTCCATCACATATTGCCTTCATGGCTGAATTTAATCTCCAGTTCTCGCTATAGGTTTGGACTCATTCCTGCAGTGTCCATTTCTTTTGGAGGTCAAAACTGATACAGTGTATCTTAAAGTCTTCATCTTAAGTTACATTGTTATTTGGCGAAAGCTCCCATATGATAAAAAAAACTTCTTCCAGATAGGACATTTCAGAGACCAGAAATCACTTCAAGTAGCCAGGGCCAAAAGTCAGTCTTTTTGGGTAAAGTTAATTCTTCATTATACAGTAGTTACGCAGTAACAAAAAGGGATATTTACTATAATTTTAATCACCTGGGACCATATACTATTCTGTAGTAAAATCAGGACTAAAGATATATATGCAACATTATGTTATATATAGTATGAACATTATCTACTATACGATTTGGCCCGTATAAAAAAGGCTGAAAGGAAATAAAAATATTAATATAATTATCCCTGGGTGATGGAATTATCTGTTTCCCAAATTTTCAATAATCAATATATGAATAATCATTTAAAAACAATAGTTTTTTTATTTTATTTATATATATATATTTTTTTGGTACCAGGGATCGAACTCGGGTCATTGCGATTGTGCAGCAGGCGGCGAAACCACTGAGCTAAATCCCCGGCCCCTATAATTTTTTTAATATAGCTACCAATTACTAGAGAAATTCAGATATTTATAAAAGTATTTGGGGGATATGTAGGAAATACTATAAAATGAAAAAAGAAAAAGTTGAGGATAAATAATGGATTTTAAGACTAAAATTTTTAAGTGTCTATAGTTGGCTTGGATGTTATGATCATTGTGTATTATGTAATTTGATACTATTTCCTTTTCCCTGTAAAGCTGTTATAGTATTGATGATGCATCTTATAATCAATGGTACAGTAAAATCAAGATTTAAAATAAATCAACTCAGGTGCAAGTGAGCCAAACTGAACTTTGCTGCAAGAGAGAGTACTCAGACATTCTGCCACCCATTTGTATTTAAGGCTAAGACTCATTCCTTGAAGTAAAAATACTTGTCAGGAGACAGATTTCAAGTGCATAAAAGGTTTATTAGAAGACCTGTTGTTCTAAATGTACTATTATGCATAAGAAATTAAAGATAAAATTAAAGATAATTTCAAGAGAACCAGTATAACATTGTACAATGATTTTGTGATTCAGATACAACCAGTTTTCACTGGTTTGTCTTTCAGAACAAATCCAACTTTCTTATATACTAGGAATTTGGAAGATATTAATTGTTTTACATGTGAACAAATATTTTAGTGAATCCCAGGTAAACCAGTTCCAAAGCATCTTCATCATTGTACCAAATCCTACATTTAAATGAAATCAGCTAAGAACTGCCATATAATTGAAACTTATTGTTTATAGTGAGTCACAATCAGTGATTTTGTTTTTTCAGACAACAACAAGACATAAAGTACTCATTATGGAATTTTGTCCATGTGGGAGTTTGTATACTGTTTTAGAAGAACCATCTAATGCCTATGGACTACCAGAATCAGAATTTTTAATTGTGTTACGTGATGTGGGTATGTTTATTCATATGATTTTTTGTTTTTGTTTTTGTTTGGTACCAGGGATTGAACCCGGGACCTTATACATGCAAGGCAGGTGGCAGAACCACTGAGCTAAATCCCCCGCCCTATATGATTTTATATATATAATTTAATGGCACTGAATAAAAGAACAAATTTCTTACATTCAAAATGAAAGACCTTTATGCAATGCTGTCTAGATATGACACCAAAAGTCCAAGTGCCAAAAAAGAAAAAAATAGATAAATTGAACTTCAGCAGTAAGAACAAAGTCAGACACAAAAGGCCACAGTATCACATGATTCATTCACGTGAAATGTTCAGAATAGACAGATCCCATAGAGATAGAAAGCAGATTAGTGCTTCAAATGACAAGCAAGTAAAATGACAAGCTAGAGAATGAGAGAAAATATTTGCAAATTACACACAAATTTTTATCCAGTCAGCAATAAAAAGACAACCCCAATTTAAGAATGGGCAAAGGTTTTGAAAAGACATTTCTTCAAAAAAGAAATGGCCGGGGGCCGGGGATTTAGCTCAGTGGTTCCCCACCTGCCTCGCAAGGGCAAGGACCTGAGTTCGATCCCGGGTAACAACAAAAAAAAAAAAGTGGGAAACTGATAAAAGCACATTTTGGGCCGAGGATTTAGCTCAGTGGTTCCACCGCCTGCCTCGCAAACGCAAGGTCCCAAGTTCTATCCCCGGTACCAAAAAAAAAAAAAAAACAAAAAAGAAATGGCCAACAAATACATTGGAAGATGCTCAATATCAGTAATTATTAGGGAAATTCAAATCAAATCCACAATGAAATAGCACTTCTTACCGCTTAGAATGGCTAAAATAAAAAAGACAGATAAAAACGAGTTAGCAAGAATGTAGAGAAATTGAAGCCTTTCTACATTACTAGTAGTAGTGTAAAATGATTTAGCCACTTTGGAACACACTCTGGCAGTTCCCCAAAAGGTTAAATATTGAATTACCTATGATCCAACCATGCTAATACTGGGTAGACACCCAAAAGAATTAAAAACATACCCACTCAGGCTGGGCGTGGTGGCACATTCGTGTAATCCCAACACTCAGGAAGCTGGGACAGGTGGTCTGCGCACGTTCAGGGCCAACCTGAACTATGTAGTGAGTTCAAAACCAACCTAAACTACATAATGTGACTGTCTCAAACAGAAATATCCACATAAAACCTTGTACATCAGTATATATAATGGCCTTACTTAAAATAGCAAAAATGGAACTAGCTGAGATATCCATCAGTTGATGAATGGATAAAAAAAGTAGTACATCCATACAATGGAATATTATCCATTTTTAAGAGGAAAAAAGTGATACATGCCAAAATACAGGTGAACCTTGATAATGTGATGCTCAGTAAAAAAGGCCAGACACAAGAGGCCACAGTATCACATGATTTGTTCACATGAAATGTTCAGAACACACAAATCTCATAGAGATGGAAAGCAGATTAGTGATTGTTGGGGGCTGAGTTGGGGAATGGCTATTAATGGGTACAGAATTTCTTTTGGCTTGATATAAATGGGGTTTTATTTGGGCTATGATATAAATGTTCTGAAATCAGTGGTGATAGTTGTATAAATCTGTGACTATACTAAAATTACTGAATTATATGCTTTTTAAAGATAAATGTTATGGGCATTATACCTCAAAAACTGATTTTTTTTTAAAAGTATGGCAACCAAAGGAAGTAACTATCTTCTTGGAAAGAAAGGAATGGGAAAAGGGACATGAAAAAGGGGGTATAAATTTAATGGGAATTCTTAACACTGAAAGTGGAGTGGAGACCATTTGGGAAACATAGTAGTGTGCTATAGCCTGTTTGGTTTGGTTTGATTTTGGTTTTTTGAGACAAGAGTCTCCCTATGTGGTTTGGCTTGGCCTTGACCTCTCTGTATATCCTAGAGTGGTCTCAAACTGGTAGTGATCCTCCTGACTCAGCCTCCAGAGTGTTGAGGTTACAGGTGCCCACCTAGCTTGTTTAATCAGATAGGTGTTATAGGTAATTAATTGATGCCTTCCTAAGTATATATTGGGAACCCTTAGTATTAATGATTATACATTGATACTTTAAAGATTTTTTTCATGTGTTGAGTAGGGGCGTTCTCATCCATCAGCTATCGAACAAATGTTTCAAGTTATCAGTCAGTGACATTGTTGGCCAAAATAGCTTAATTTCAGCAGTGTAGCCACCTTTGCCCTTAAAAGGGAAAAGAAAAGGCCAGGGATTTAGCTCTGGTACTGCCGCCTGCTTCGCAAGCGCAAGGACCTGAGTTCGATCCCTGGTACAAAAAAAAAAAAAAAGAACAAAAAGAAAAGAAAATGGACTTTTTGGAATAGTACTAAGCATATTAGAAATACAATTTTCTGAAAAAAGTCTGGCACTTTGCCCTCTTTCTGTTTGGTTCTTACTATTTATTGAATCCAGTTTATTTTAAATGACATTTTTTTCTCAAGGTAAAAAAATCTGAAACTGTGGTGTAAGATTATCTTTGTAGGAATCTTTATTATTCTCAAGTTTTATTACTCTTAAGTTTTACATATTTTATATATATATATATATAAAATAATTCAGGAATTCAAATACTTGAGACCATTTTGTTGAGTTTTCCTAATAGTGTTTGAGAGATTGGCCAGGCACAGTGGCTCGTGGCTGTAATCGCAGCACCACTTTGGGAGATCACAAGTTCAAGTCCACCCCAGGCAAATTGGTGACTTAGCAAGACCATGTCTCTAAATAAAAAATTAAAAAGGGCTAGGTTTGTAGCTCAGTGCAGAGGTCCTGGGTTCCATCCCCAGTACCACGGGGGACGGGGGTGGACAGGGGGCTTCTTAGCTGATGCTGGGTGAAATGATAATTGCACCACCTTATAGCACAGTTACAGAAATACTTTTAAGTTTGAGTGAATATGAATTTATTAGATCAGTGAATTGGGGACATATACACATAGATACCTACATTATGATTCCACTTTATGTTTATTGTTGAAGTGGGTGGAATGAATCACCTCCGAGAGAATGGCATAGTGCACCGTGATATCAAGCCAGGAAACATCATGCGTGTCATCGGGGAGGATGGACAGTCTGTGTACAAACTCACAGATTTTGGTGCAGCCAGAGAATTAGAAGATGATGAACAATTTGTTTCTCTTTATGGCACAGAAGAATATTTGGTAAGTGATCTATCACTAATTTCAATTCTAAAAGCTACATATAGCTTTATATTATCAGGTAATATATTATCAGGTAATTGGTCAATCAGTTCACTATAAAAGGTTACAATTTTTATGACAAAAATTGAAGTTTCTATTCTAATGAATATGTTGTGTAAGAAGGGAATTGGGCATTTGTTCCTAAGAGGGCTGTTATTTTTCTCTTAAAATCCTTGGAAGTTTTATAGTACCCTTAAATCCTTTAATTTCACTAATGATATAGATCTGTATTAAAAGGCAAACCTATCTGTACACTCAAGAGACATCTAGCCAGTAAAGGCTTCATTTTTGGATTAGAGCAATTACTGTATTATGAGCTTTTTATATTGTTCCCTATAGAGAAAACTTCATTATATTTCTGAAACAGAAGATTCTATTCATTATTGACAGACTGAAAGGACTACTGTTAGAAACATACAAAAGATAAAACGCCTCTGTAAATATGTAAATTGAAATGCTAGAAATCTAGAACTTCGTGTAAGTGCATTTGTGAAAAGTTAGTAAAATTTGAAACCCTTAAAAATATATTTTATGGCCGCAGGCATGGCAGTGCATGCCTATAATCAAATCACTCCGGAGGCTGAGGCAGGAGGATTACTGTGAGTTTGAGGTCCACATGGGCTACATAGTTCAAGGCCACCCTGCACTACATAGTGAGTCCTTGTCTCAAAAAAACCAAAAAATAAAAATTAAAAAACTATATATATAAATATATATATATGTATAGTAGATATATATATGTACTTGTAGCATGTAATTGGGAAGTTTGTAATATATGGCTATTATCAGTTATTCATCACTCTGGGTTTGATCTTAAGTCTTAGATTCTTTGACTTTTTTCCAATTGGATTCTTCTGTTTAATGTTATAAAATGAAGGATGAAGTCTTTCCACCCCAGTGGCTTTATCAAGATTATTCTAAGTCTAACATGAATTAAGGTATCTTAAATTGGCTTCTCACAATAGATAGCCCAAAGTAATCTGCAGTTATGTTTGATGATATTTTAGATAAGAGTGCTGAGTTGTGTGCTGTAATGTGTGCTTCTAATCCTAGCTACTTAGGAAGCTGAGGAAGGAGGATTGCAAATTCAAGGCCTAGGCAATTTAATGAGACTGTCTTGGGTTGGGTCATTCATTCCACAAATATTTATGGCCTGCCTACTGTGTACCAGCTACTCTTCAAGCCACTGGGATTTCTGTAGTGTACCAGACACACATTCCTGCTCTGTGGAGCCCACATTCTAGTACAGAAAACAGACAGTTAGAGCCCGGTGTGGTGGCGCATGCCTGTAATCCCAGCACTCAGGAGGCTGAGGCAGGAAAATTGCCACGAGTAAAAGGCCAGCATGGGCTACATAGTCAGTTCAAGGTCAGCCTGCACTACAGAGTGAGACCTTGTCTAAATAAAAAGAAAACAGACAATTAAATGTGAACAAGTAAATAAGGTAAATTCAGATCATTGACGTTTTGTGAGGACAATAAATTAAAGTAATAAGATAAAGAGTGACTAGCAGTAGAAAGGTGGCCAGGGAAAGCCTCCCTTCAGGCCTACACAAACTTGACATTGAAAAAGGGATCAAACTGAGGACCTTGTGCTTGCCAGGCAGGCACAGCACCGCTGAGCTACATCCCCGGCCCTACACTGAAATTATTAAAAGCATTAAGCCAGGTGCAGATTTGGGAATGTTACAAGCAGAGGAAACAGCAACCAGAAAGGCTAGGACAAGAATGATGCTGAGTGTTCACGAGACCAAAAGGATGGCTATTTGGCTGAAATTTAATGAGTGAGGAGAAAGTGTTAGGAGTTGGAAATGGAACAGTGGTCACAGTCCTGTCAGATTCTGTAAGCTCGTGGTTTCTACCCTGCCAGATGACCAGCTCTTTTTTTTTTCTTTTTTTTTTGGTACCGGGGATCAAACTTGGGACCTTGCACTCATGAGGCAGGCAGCAGCACCACTGAGCTAAATCCCTGCCCCACCAGTTCCTTTTTATGATAAATATTTTACATCTTCTCTTATCTATGAAGAAACTTAAATTTCATTTGAATGAAACTATTAGATAATATAAATCAACCTACATACCTAAGTGAACGAATAACATACATTAATATTGTAAGGCAAACTATTTTATAACAAAATATTAACTATTTAATATGTAAAAGTTTAGGAACAACTTCTGATGAATAAATGAAGTAATCATATATGCTTGTAATGTCCCTTTGAATACAAGTGCATTGATATCTTGTATTAGTAACACATACCACAAGTTATGGTGTTATTCGCATGATTTTCCAAAGTAGTGAACAATTCTTGGTAAAATATTTAATTAAATCAGGCTGTTTTAAATATAGCTACATTCTTCAAAAATACTTTATTATATGTAAAATTGGATTTAGAAATAGATTTCTCACCTGCACAAATACCTAGCAGGGTTTTGGAAAGTAATTCAAAACATGGAGCGATTAATTTTCAGATCTGTAATATACTGCAAGATGCCTCTCTCACCAAATACCAGTACTATTTTACCAATTGTTGTGGTCACCATAACAGCCTTCAAAGAATTATTTCTCCCAATACTAGTGATTAATCTTTTATATCGTCTCCTATGTAGAACTACAGATTAGCTTTTGCCTCTAACAGATTTTTAAATAGGGAGAACAAAACACTAGACAAATTAACTCTGAGTCCATGCTGTGTATTCTATGGGGAAATTTAACTTAATGCTATTTCCATTTAACCCTGTTTTCAAACATAGAACACCAGAAGTTTTAAAATAAGGTAAACAGGGCCAGGGATTTAGCTCAGTGGTTCCGCCGCCTACCTCACAAGCGGAAGGACCCAGGTTTGATCCCCGGTACCAAAAAAATAAAGAAAGAAAATAAAATAAGGTAAATAAATAATGGTCAGAAGCTCCACAGTCTAGAAAAATTCTATATTTAGATGGAAACTTACTCTTTTGTAATTTTCCAGAAATCACTCAGCCAGAAGTTAAATTCTCCCTTTTGTGTGTTAATTTTTTAAAGACCTAACATTCTTCTATTATTTTTGATAATACACATATTGTCTCAATAATATAATCCTCCAAACCTTGGTGTGGCTTTATCCTAATGTGCCTATTACAGATGCAGTAGGCCCAGTAATGTCAAACCCTACATATGCACAAGTGTCACGTTCAGGAAAGAGCCAGTGGGCACAGTCATGCCAGACCAGCATGTGTCAAGCCACCAACATTCCATTGGCCCCTGAAGGCTTCCAACTGTACCACCTATATTACCTATATTATTGCACCTTAGAGGAAGTCTGCTTTGTCTCCTAGAATCATTGTTATCTCTTCTTCCCAGGGTGGAAGCCTCATGTTGCACAAAGTATCAGACATGTCCAGGTACTCTTAACCTATTCACAGTACCATTTGTACACTAAGTACTAGCTGCTGTGTCAGAGGTCTGGCTATCACTTCCTTGAACAATAATCACTTTTTATGCTATCCCACAGAACAAGCAGAGTCACTCAGATCCCATATGTCTGTTAGGCATGTATTTGGAAACTCACTGCAAAACCCAGTCTTTATCTGCTTATCTCTACTACTGATTGTATATTAAAATATATTTCCCAAAAGAGCCTTTCCCCAACTCCATCCCTTCCCACTGCCCCCTACCCCAATCCAGAGAGTATGAATCTTGGGGATTCATAGACTATGTCATTTAGAAGTCATTCTCAGCAGTGGTTCCTATCTTGATTCCCATTCTTCTGAGCCTTAGACAAATCCCACAATGTCATAAGGGATTGTTTGGGTTTGGAACCATTTGGGAGGTGACTCTACTTTGGTCCATAGTATACTCTTTTTTTTTTTTTTTTTTTGATAGTATACTCTTGAAGCTCTAGCTGCCAAGAATCTTCAAGTTGCCAATGCATAACTTCCACAAAGGCACATGTCAGGAGGTGAAGGCTATGTAGCCACTGGTTTTCTCTGCAGAGCTAAATGTTCATCTGAATCTCTGCTAGCTCCTGAATCATTTCTTACAAGAGCCAGATATTTTCAGCAACTCTGAAGTAGTGTCTCCTGTAACAACATGTGTTTAACATCATCAGATCAGCTACTTCTCTGGGTCACTTGATCCCCAGACAACTAGTCCTCTAAACTAATTCTACAGAATTAATTGTTTCAGCACCCATAGGACTTGCTGTGGTAAATTGCATATGAAGGATGAGATAAAGAAATTGAAGATGCCTAATAGCTTTCCGGTGTGAGCAGCTGGATAGAAGATAAGAGGGAAAGAGATGTGAATGAGAAACCATAAGTCTCTTTTGCACATGTTAAATTTGAACTGCCTTTTAAACATTGAAAGAAATAGGACATGTGAATCTGGAACTCAGGGCAAGAGATAGATTTAGCAGTTAAGGCATAAAGATGATATTTAATATGATAGGCCTGATTGGGAAGAAGTAAGGTAGTGATAAGCATGAATAGCTATTTTGGAAGTCTTGCTGTTGGTGAGAAGCAGAGAATTGGTTGATTGCTGAAAGGATTGTGGGATCAATTTAAGTTTTTTGTTTTTGTCTTGTTTGAAACTGGAGCTATCCACACACCTGTAATCACAGCACTAGGGAGGCGAGGCAGGAGGATCACTGTGAGTTTGAGGCCACCCTGGGCTACACAGTGAGTTCAAGGCCAGCCTACACTACAAAGCAAGATCCTGTATCAAAAAACCAAAAATGAATAAATAATTTTGAAAAATGGAGCTGTCAAAGCTTGTTCATAAGTGGAAAGGAATGATCCAGCATAAAGTAAAAGGAATAATTGTAAAAATTGATTCTAGAATTGGTAAGGCAATATGATGGGCTCACAGCACAAAAGAAAAAGTTGGTCTTTTTTGGTTTTTGGGGGTTTTTTTGGTACTGGGGATCGAACTTGAGACCTTGGCTTGTGAGGCAGGCACCAGAACCACTGAGCTAAATCCCCAGCCCTGGTCTTTGAGAGTAGTTTTGTTGTAACTAGAAAGTAGGCCAGGCAAATGGACCTAGATTCAGGTAGGTTGGTAAAGGGCATAAAGAAGAATTGATCTGTTTGTTTACATTTCCTCTCTGAAATATGGAGTCAAAATCGAGGGTCAAAGGAGGTGGTATTAGAGGTTTAAGTTGAGATGGAGAAGCTGTGAAATAGTCTTTTGAGAATGGGAAAATAAAAGTACTAGGAAAACATGATAGAATTTCTAGACATTGAGTACCCATTCTTTTTTGTTGTTGTTTGTAATGTTTTAACAGTAGGTCACAGGTTCATATTTTTTTGTGTTTCTTAGCATCCTGATATGTATGAGAGAGCAGTACTAAGAAAAGATCATCAGAAGAAATATGGAGCAACAGTTGATCTTTGGAGCATTGGGGTGACATTTTACCACGCAGCTACTGGATCACTGCCATTTAGACCATTTGAAGGGCCACGTCGGAATAAAGAAGTAATGTAAGTGGTTTCTCCGTATAAAATTAGAAATAAAATTTTAAACGTATGTATTATTTTATTTCCCCATATGTTAGAATTGAACACTGACAAAAATTGGTTTAGCAGACATTTCTATTATTTTAAGCTATGTGACTTTTACTAAAAATGTAGCCTTACTGTAAAAATATATAGGCATAATTTTTCATATCATGTTTAAATATCTTCTGTACAAAGTGTACGTGGTGTCCCGTCTTTGGCCCAACCTTAAAAGTCTACCATTTCCTGAATTTTATTTTAGCATACTGTTTCACTTTTTGTACTTGTCAGCATTTTTCTTCTGTTCAACTGAAAAAAGATCTGTGGGGTACTAGAACCATTATCAAATCTAAGAGAAATATAATTGTTACCTTCCACTTTTTTTTTTTTTACCATTTTAAAAATAATATTTTGGCAGTACTCATTTTTTCTAGTGTTAAAGGTTCAGACCAGGCATTTTACTAGTATAGTATACATTCATGCATTCAGTATATACATTCAGTATAACATTCATATTGTTAGGAAATAATTAATGTACAAAATCACTTACTGTAAACCAAATAACATGAGAGATTTCTAGTTGTGAAATTTTTTTATAAAATGCATCTATATACTGACCTTGCTTTTTATTTTAGAAGAAATGAGTTAATGCCTTTGCTTCATGAAAACAGCTAACTCACATACGCATAAAACTATAAGGTTATGAATATTTAATTTAGTGCATGGTTTGGGACAGTAACTCACTGATAGCCTAACCTGCCCAACCATTGTTTTAGATCTTCACATATTTTTCAGACTTACATATTTGACTCTGCCTTTCATAAGCATACATGACTTAAAGCAATCACAACTGTAAAACTATAATCTTCCATCTAGTATCATCTCAGAGAATTGAGGAAGAAGCATTTTTTTCCTTTTGTTGATTTGAGGAAGTAAAACAAATTCAGATGATGTAATGACTTTTGCTGATACATATTTAAATACTTTCCTATAAGGACAGTGCCTGTGTGCAAGAGGAAACCATTAACTGAACTAATGATTTCGGTATCATGTCAACCTGATTCTGCTTTACAGGAGTGTCCTTTGTATAAAATCTGTTCCTGAACAAAGGCTGAGAGTCAGTTTGTGTTTTTCACATGAAACATGGATTGTACTTGGTGATAAATCATGCTTTTTATCTTAATAAGTATGTTTTAAAGTAGTATCAGCCTTTCTTGCTGCCCTAAAACTGGATTAAATAAAACTGTAGTGCTCCCTGGTGAAAGAAAGTTGACTCATCAGCAACTAGGAACCTGATGATTTCACCTAACTCCCATGAGGGTGGTTATACATTACAGAAGTTATTTCTTTATTTGCACAGAAACTCAACTTTCTATTTACACTGATACCAATGAATGTTTAGAGGTGTTCAGTTAGTGGTGGCTGATTTACTTTACCAGTGAATGGTGCATTCATCTCACATTATGGCAGTGTTGCTTCTTCAGCATCTCATTTGCATCTTATGAATGTCTATATGTAGATCTTATGAAAATTAAACATTTTTAAGAATTTGCATAAGAACTCTTTCATTCTATTCACTTTGTATTAATCTCACATATCTCCACTTCTCTATGGTCTGATCCTTCTCATGTGAACACATCTTATTTTTCACAGTAGTTTTCTTTGAAAAAATATCTTTTTTTTTTTTTTTTTTTTGTTTTTGGTACCAGTTTATTAGTTTTCCTCCTTAATATAAATATC